TAAATCATTATAATTCATATTACATATATTTTTAAAATTATTATACTCATTATTATTTTTAACTTACATATAAAAATGTTTACAACTTTTTTTGACTATATTAAAAAATATAGTATACCTAACTATAAAAAAAAATTACAATTTATATAACAAGAGTAATTAATTGTATATTTGTATGGCAACGTTGCATTTAAAATTATGTGGAATCGTATACATATATATTAAATTTGCGGAGTCGTGTATGTATATCAGTGTCTATTAAAATCAACACGATTCCGCCAATTTTGCGGAATCGTGTTATAGCCCAACCTACAGACCGGCGCAAACGAAGTCGGAGTAGGTGCCGTGCTCTTCCAACGGGGGAGAGTGGTGAAAGGAAAATACGAGAATTTCCTATACCAGCCGAAAATTTAACCCAGCCCTGGAAAGATATTTGGTAGTTAAACGTGAATATCTAGCAATAGTTTGGGCGGTGGACTGGTTCAGATCGTATCTTGAATTTGGTAAATTTTAGGGTTGTGAACCTCATTTATTGATAAGCCTCATCATCTATGAGATGTCTACCTGCCACGCGTATCGTYCATCGTAAGAAGCAGTAAAAACCGAAACGTCGGACAGTCATCGTCCAAAATGATGTTTGGTCGGGAGATCAAGGCCCCCGGAGATTGGCAGCTCGAGCTGTCCGAAGAATCTCCGGGCACCGTAAAAAATGGTACGGACCCTTACCCATACCTAACCTTACCCTTCGGTAAGTATCAAAGATTCTCCGGATGATGCTCCGGTGGAAAAGGGTTACTCGGGGTTATCCAGCTCCGAAGTCCCCAGAACCGAAATACCGTCAGAATCCCGGGGAAGAATCAATCTGTTAAAGCGGGATTGGGTATATTACTAAGTGCATCCGAAGTCATGTTGTGGACGTTCATGACGGAGGTTAAACACTCTATTAAGTCTATCATGTCTCGGCGATGAAGTGAGCTGTAGGACCGTCAGAGAACAGTAACTAACCATATCTTGTTTTATATAGCAGAACGCGCTGGTAACTCACCGCCAACCCGCAATAACCAGCCATCCCATGGCATGATTTCCAGCCATGTCGAGAAACTTCAGGCAACGACCGGACAGCTGCTGTGAGAAGCCAGGAGGCTATCTGGTGATGGGCTGGAAGACGCAGTGGGTGGTTGTTCGGCCGAACGCACGATAATTGCATCATTTGGCCGTATACAAACAAGTCCGACCGTATGGGCTTTATTCAAGTGAAGGTTCGTTGAGGGACGCCGGTCCACACGGGTGAATACCCCGCAGCGACAGGCCGCAGTCCTCGAGAAGGGCTGCCAGGACGGATTTTACCTCGACGAGTGGCGCTGACGTACCAGTGCCACAATGTGCGGGGCTGACGAGGTCGGTTTCAGGCGTAACTGCCAGCACAGCCACCAGCCCAGCAGCCAACCACACAGCCACAGATCACGCCACCAGCTGGGACGCAAGAGCAACAGCTGAGAGTGATGGAACGGTGGATCGAAGCCATGGAGGTAACGCCCGTGGTCCCGGCAACCCCCTCCCCCTTTCTGGTGGAGTAGCATGGTTGCTCGGGCGCGTCTCGTGGATTCTTGGGGGGAGGGAGTATGTCGTGGCCGATATCGCAATGACCTCCACTTCTCTATCGACGTCCGCGAAAGCACGACCGAGCACCGGTCTAGCAGCCGCCGACCGGGTGAACCGCCGACTCGACGATCGGTGGACGACCCGTGCAGCTTTTGCCTGACCGCGCGCGTGGACACACCGTAACCAATATTGAGTTAATTAATAAATAATAAGATGTGTTTCCGCCCAACATAAACATGTTCAGTTATTACAATTCGTCCTAACATCAACATACTCATAAATATATCATTTACAATTATACGTTCAACTAAAACACATTTAATAGAATAATATTGAAATAATTGATGTTAATAAGTTACAATGTTAAAGATTGATACGATCATTTAGGTTATAATAAATAAAAATGTTACATTATATCATAAATATTCATGCATGAACGCCATGAACATCTAAAATAATTAGATGTGTTGTRTAGATTTGTTGATAAGTAGGTTAAATTGAAGCGTGACTTGACAATCATTAATCATATCATAATTTTTTTTATGAAACACAGTTATTTATTTTGAATAGTTGTTTTTYAATTTACATTTATCAATTTGCAAAAAKTAAAATTTATTATAATATTTACATTTCATTTTAAATATATTTTTAGCTTCTGGGCTGGTTCTGTATATCCGTGGTATTCAGGAGCGTATTTAAGGGAGGGGCACATGGGGCCCGTGCCCCCC